ACTGTACCCAATTCACTTTAAAAGGTGAACTATTAGCATTAGCTCTCGTTAACCACATGATTGCATTAATAATTAAGGTAACAGCAACTCTTCCATCAAAATGGAAAATGTCTAGAATCGTGGGTAAATATGCAGTGCATGGAAGCCAATAACCATGGCTTGAGAATTTATCACCTTCAATTACAAAAAGTGCAATAAACAGAAACATTTGCTCTATATTTATAAATTGCTCAAAAATCTTTGCTAAAGATCTTACAAATTCAGTAATATTACAGAACAATTCTAATCAATATTTAATAAGGTTAACTACATCCTTAGTTAGATATTTGATATACTTTGATTTTTAACAATGCCAATAGGTCATCTTGGAAGAATAGGTGAAAGAGTTTAAGCTCTTTATTGAATGAGTTTTTCTAATGAAGGTCCTTCACTCAGTTCATGGAACTGATTGAGGTCCCATTAAAACACAACATCCCTTGTTGAATTTGCGTTCTGGCCCATGTTCTGCCATGATAGTGGATGTCTCCACATTTCTCATGGCTCATGTAGGAGGGGAAGGGTTTATTCTGCCAACAAGCCACCAAGGATATTTTATATAAATGCCTATTACCTATAATAGGAGCTGAGTACACAACCATCAGGTGCCAACAATATAACTCCTTTGTAATAAAAAAAGTATTACTCCATTAAACTAGAGTGTTTCTTCAGGATCTTGAAGGCCTGGCAAAGTATTTTTCAGCTCAGGAGATAATGGTATATAGCCAAGTAGCAAACATAAAGTAAATGCTATTAAGTTTTCATATATCTGTACTTATAAACAAATTCACCCTAGATGTCAAATATCCATACTAAGGAAGTAATTGTATCCTAATTAAATACACTCTAGAATAATTTATATAATGATATTATGTATTTAAAGAGAAAAGCATGTCCCAAATCCAGCACTCTGATACAGCTGCCAGTTGGGCACAGGTAGATATATATATATATGTATATATATACAAATATATAGTTATACTCAGTGAAATTAACAAGACCCAAAGGTGGTATTGTCTAGGAATAAAAGGGATTTTTTTTTTGTTCACAAAAGTAACTTATCTAGCACCACACATCAGAAAAACACAAAAATAGCACATTCTAGTTCTAAACAGCTATGTCTAAAATAGATTATATAGTAAAACCAGTATTATACAGCATATTGTGGATTTGATAAACAGATAAATATTCGCACTGAGTAGGCTGTTTATAATATAACATTTTCTTATCTATACAGAATGAAAGCCAAAAAGTTAACTGTATAGAGATGTGCAGAACAACATTAAATATTATGACTCAAAAGCAGGGACGAAGGTAAATTTGAAAGAAGAGAGAAAATGTTTACAGGCCATTACAAGTTCTTAAGTTAATAGTAAATAAGGAATCAATTGCTCAAGTTGAAGAAAGCAGTAAACAAGAGATTGCATTTACATGCAGATGTCTAAAACTTGTATTTTTTTAAGTCTATGCACAAAAGTCATTTGTTTTATTGCTTGACATTCAGTTATGGCTAGATTATTTAACCTACTTTTTTTTTTTTGTACTTTGGAAACAAGAATATTGTTAAAGGTGCCATAAAAATGGACAACATTGAAACGGTTTGCGAATAAACCACCTAACACTGCAGTTCTTTATACATATTAAAAGCCTTGTCTGGGGTTTGTCATATGTTAAATATATTTAAACTGGGAAAATATGTTGTAGCTTGAAGCCTCCCATTGGCCCAAACATCCAATACAAAAAACAGATCTCCACAAAAGGAGCAGGCAGACACAGGTACATTTAAAGAAGCAGCCAGCTAATGTCCTAATGTTTAACTAAACCACTGTTTTATATGAGATTTCAAACCATTGTGGATAAAAGAATTTTGGGTTCAGGAAGATGTGTACAGTACATACGGATTTTTTTTTGTGTGTGAAATCATATTCACTATATTGCTCAAGAATTATCTGCATTTACTTATGCAATCTGTTCAATGACCAAGCTCCTAGAAATAGTATTCATCCACATTAAAGTAATGAGTGAGAAAGGGATCACACACACTGGAGAGAATTTAGTTGCTCTTCGAGAACAACATAGTAGCATGTGCAGCATGTCAAAGCTAATAGCAAGCGATCTTTCATTAGTTCTTAGAAGGGAAAAAGAAGTGTGATACTGCTAATGTGGCAAACACTAAGTGTAAACAGCAAACAGATTCTATAGGCATCTATTAAAATATTGTATTTGCTTCTTTAACACTTGACTCCATGTTGTTGCATCACTGAAAAAATGTTTCTATTTGGATTGAATATTCTGTCATTTGCTTATAAATAAATAAATGACTGAATATATTTATTGCTCTAAGTTCTGAGGGTCTGGTTAAACATGGAGATCCCCCCCATCTATGATGTTTCCTTGCTCTGAAGCCAGGCTTCTGGATTATTTGAAAAGTTGTTCTGAGGGTGTGACAAAACTGATCTCACTTATATAAACAGAGAAGCAAACACACCCAGAGGTGAAATCAATTGCTCTGTAAAGATACTGCTTGTCAACCTTCTCACACCATCAGAACAAACAATAATAGGGAGGTCTGTTTAATTAAATATAGTGGGTCCTCCTCAGTAATACCAGTGTTTAGTGCCAGAGGGAAGGTCTGTATCATAAACTATTAGTAAAAGATCAAGATTTACTGTTGCAATTGCATTTCTGGTAGTCTAATCCATAGTATAGTTTTTAAAGGGTTCTGCTGTGCCATATGTTTATAAATCAGAAGTGGCAATCACACGTTATAGTAAGTAAAAATGTCAATAACTGGAGTGTGTGTGTGTACATATATTTATATATATGTATGTACATTTGTGTCAGAGAGACGGACAGAGGGAGATTCCTGCACTTTCCATAGTCTTTCTTACCAAGAACAGTAGGGTAAAGGTTTCTGTCTCATCTGAATGACATGGAAAGTTTTCCTAAATTACACTCTTCCATGGTTGTGAGAAAATATATAAAGCTTCTTCTCAAGGTGTATTTTAGGTGTAAAAGAATCCAAGACAACAATTACACTGAGGTTCACTGACTTTATGGAAAATACATGGAAATAAGAGAACAAAATTGTATTTCAAAAATGTAAAATGTAGCCCTAAAAGCTGGCTCACATTGCTCTGTAATACAGGTGGGTTTTGTTTGTCTTTAAACATCAGCTCTTATATTAATCCAACAGATAAAAACTACAAATTTGAAGCAGAAGAACCGTTACTTAAAGGGATCTTTCGGTTTGCTCCTAGAAGAGAACACAGTGAAAATAACAGTTACTTGCTGGCACATGAAAAAATGTGTTTCATCTTTTATCTCTTTCACTGCACTGATAGGCAGGGCTCTCATCTCATTGATGGTCTAAAAAGTTTTTAGTCATACTGTGTTGAATTTGAAGTAGTTTTTAATATATAATGCTATAAATATATTTATCTTGAATATTTTAATTACTAGAGAAATGGCAAATGAAGTGTGTAGGGCTGCATTCTGAGTGATATGCTCTGTTGGGGTATTATTAACATCTTTTGAACATTCTGCTATGTTCATACTCATACTGCTTTGGAAGTTAGTGTTTTTAAGCATACAAGACTAAAGAACACATAAGTTTCAAACTCAACAAAATGAGACAAGAGTGGAGAGTTTACACACACATGCAATTCTATACAGTTCACTTGTGCCTTGGAGGGAGAGTATTATCACTATTATTAAGAATAAAAAAACACAATTTGTCCCAGTAGTCCTGGCCACCCTGTTTTAAGAGTTTTAGAAGATCCCTGAGCACATTGTTTCTGACTCTTAATCCCAACTCCAAAATGACAGAGCTTCTATTGTTGATATCAAGATGGATTGTCATTCACAGTAAGTCAATCATTAAGGTGCTTATTTACCCTTTTTTTTTTTTCATCAATCAGCACAAAGAACTGTCAGAAAATAACTTTTTATTATTATTATCTTAAAATAATAGCACTGGAAGGACATGATTTAAACAATCAATGTTTGAAACAGTGGCTTTAGGATTATTATCTGGCTGCCCCTCAACAATACAAGTGATTCAATCGACATTCCTTAGCCAAAAACAAAAGCAAAAAAAACCAAACCAAAACAAAACACAAAAACTGTACAAATACGTATTTTTCCCTGAGGGATCAAGGTACACCCGCACGTGCTCTATGTACATATTGCACTAGAGAGGAATGAAGAACATGTGCAAAAAAGCAACAATGAGAGAAGCTTACATCCTACTTAAACCTTTTCATTAAAGATTCCACTAGGTGGTTTTGCATTTTGGAATGTCGGAACACAAATAGCTATCCTTAGGCTAAAACTAAAAACACATATTTCTACTATGGCACATTCAATGAAATAAAAAGTTTTCCAAAGACAGATAGACAAATTCCATCAAGAAAATAATACAAAGTTTGTTTGTTTGCATTTTTTTTTTAGAAAATTACATTACTTTCTTTCTTTGTTTCACATTACAAAATCTTTTTTTTTCTTTACACAAATCACATTTTATTGCAGGAATATTTCAAGTGCCATCAAATATTTATAGAAGGGTTAAAAAAATAGAAGTCTCTCTAAAGTGGTCCAGACAAGGCTTTGTATAGAATAAATCTTTTTTTTTTTTCCATCTTCTAGTTTTAAGTATTTTGAATACATTTTCTTTTCCACTGACACTTAGTAGCCTAGAAGCGGTCCGAAACACGCACATCATACACACAAACACTAACCCCCCCCACACACACTCCCCCCTCACCCGACCCTCTGCCCACCCCCATACGCTCACAGAGATCTGGGTGTCCCCACTATAAAGAACAACCAAACTTAGAAGCAGTGTCTTAAGTCATGTTTTCCTTAATCTAGGAAGGGTGAATCAGGATGCTGAAGACTTAAAAAAGAAAAACCCATAGCTTTTATACAAATTAGGATCTGAACACTAAAAAAAAAAAAAAACCGAAGATATTCAAGCTTTGTACAAAAGCCTCATTTACCCTACATAGAAAATTGTGTAAAAGGCATTATAGCAGCCGGGATAACAATGATGTGACTCCAATCTTTATAACACTATTAGGCATTTAAGTTTAGGAAACTTTGATTATAGGAACTATTACGAATAATTGTTCTGTATCACCAAGTAGTTTGTGTCATCACACGGGTGTTTCTATAATAAGGAAGAAAATAAAAATGCAAAGTTTTTCACATCCTTTTCCATACTTCATTTTTTTTGACTGATTTATTCTTTAACTTCAGATCCCAACTTCGATCAAATAAGTTATTCCCTCTTTTCACAGAGCACGCCTCCACTACTCTGTTTCTACAATGTCAATGTCCTTTACTCCGAAAGTCTGCGCCCTCCTTTTCTTCCAGAAAGACCTAGTAGCAGTAATATGTCAACATATCTTAATTTACTCTAAAAGCAATGTTACCATGGCGTGACTATTACTGAGACTAGAGCATCATCTTTTGCATTAGGTACATGCAAAATCCTTTCTGGAAAAGGAATTTCCATTAAGTTCAATATTATGTTCTCTTTCACCCTTAGAGAAGTTCAATTAGCTCTTATCATTTCATAAATGGACACTGGAATTCGTTTAGTTGCTCTTTAATGCACTAGCACCTGAGGCTGGTCATATTCAGAAAGCTTTGGTTAAAAAGAAGTTAATATACTTTAATAAACCATCCCCAAATTTAGTGACTCAGTGATGACAAAACAAAAAAACAGAACAAAACCAAAATAAAAACACACCATTTTCCCCCAAAGGACAAACAATAGGAAAAAAAATGGACAAATAAATAACTGAACTAAGCTTGGTACTCTTTTCAAAGTATAAATACTATTTAATGATCTTTAAAGGAACTATGCTTAAATAAAAAATTTGATTTAATCCTTCTTGCCCAAACATAAATACTATATACTGATAGTTAGCCTCTTTAGATAAACACAAAGTTTTATATGCTTATAAGAAATTTAAGTAAATATTACTCTTTTATTTATGGTTAAACCCTTACTGTGTTTTTGCAAAAAAAATTTTTTAGATGATATTTAGGCTTCATACACATTTCTGTGTGAATAATTCCTTTCCCTTTTCCATGTCCCTCAGGAAACAAGTCAGAAAGTCTGTGAAGTTAAAAATAGAGTGAAGGGCTCCGGGAAGCCTGTACTATGCTCCACGTGGCACAAGGAGCCACAATCCCTGTGGAAGACCCAGAGGAGTCCCTGGTGGGAGAGGAGACACTTTCTCTGCTATGAAGGGCTGCTTGGGGAACTCCCACCTTTACACTACGGGATGATATTTCCTTTTCTGTATAAACATGGTCTGTGGTGTCAGACCAGACTTTTGAATTCCACCCCGAGTATGACTAAAATCATCTTTGAAATGCCTACATTCCCAAGATTACTTATCTTTAAAACAGGCACGCTGGTATATCAGACTGTTCTTTCTCCCCCGCCGCCATTGGAAATTGTTACTTTTTAAAAAAAAAAACAACCAAAACATGAAGTTAAACAAAAAACAATTCAACATTTCTTACCTGAACACAAAAGCCAAACAGTCTTCTAAATATTTCATAAAATAAATTACAGTCCACAGTTTTCTAGTGAAGATAAATATAGGAGTATTTGCAGCTAGCATCAACTTCACTTTATATGCTTAAAGTATTTAATATTTAAATAAGGGAAACTGGTTCAACATTGTAAGCTTCCCTTGCCCTCCTGTCCATTGTCTGTGAAATATGGAGAGCTACAGTCTAGAATTAGAGCAGCCAGAGGCTGCTAGTTCAGAACTAGTTCACTCTGACATAGACTCTAAGGGTTCCTTAATTATACCAAGAACATAATCATTCACAAAGTAAATGCTTCATGTCCTCACATGGGGAGTGTGTGTTTGCAGCAGAATCTTTGAGTCCTTCTTATGATAAAAGCTAGATTCCAATAAATATCAGGTGACTGGTTTGTTCTCGAAGCATGAGAAGCCAAGTTGAGAGGGAGTCCATAGCATTACTGAACTGTGTAAAGGGAGCCTCCCCTCCCTTGCCAACATGAGGTGGTGTTTTAAAAAGCTTAAAATAATATGCATGATGATATAAGTCCACAGCACCGGTTGATCATTCAACTTTGTATGAAGCATAAACACATCTATCATTAAACTTACCAAAAACAAAGTATAATTGAGGGAGAGTTCCATTTCTAATTCCAAATTCATCCGTTAGGAAAAAAAAAAAATCCAACATTGTGATTTCTAGATATGACCAGCCAGATTTTTAAAAGTCATTTTGTAAACAGCAGCATAATTACCTCCTGACGTACCTTCCAAGCCTTCTCAGTTAAACTTGTGTTTCTGGTGCACATGCGACACAACAGTGAACACGCTAGCATTTAATTTAAAGAAAAAAGGTGCAAAATGAAAGTGCCTTATCAATTCAACAGGAAAAGCTACACCAGTAACTACATTTTATATTAATTAAAACAATATATAAACAATATCTCTTTTAGCTATATATAGTCTTCATGCCCATTTACCCTGTAGTATATTATAATGCTATTGTTGCTAGTGCTACGGACCCTTCTCATGCCATCCTGCTGATGGGCAAATGATCGGTGAAAACATAAAAACTTCCTTCATGAAACAAAGAGCAAGCTGTGCAAAGTAATGCTGCAACCTCCGCTATGCACACCAGTCACCGATCACTGCCGGACTCTCTGTTGTCATGGACAGATGGGTGACTCTGTAGAAAGTCTGTAGGCAGTGGGCTACAAGAAAAGGAAATCCTCTGACTTTAGTACCCTCCTTCTGTTGTAAACAGAGGTCAACGATCAAGAAATCGAGACAGAAAAAGGGTCCACATCTGTAGGCATAATGGAAATCATATGCATGAGAAAAACAAGTTCAACTTTTATTTGTTTTCATTGTTTCCCCTCCTTTGCCTGACCCCGATCACCAAAAGATGTGCAGTGTCTTGGCGCTCCAGGTCTGTGCAGGGCCATATAAAGTGTCTTGGTTAATTTTTTTTTGTGGTTGTTTTTCATGTTTGTACTTCAGACATTCTAGAAGTGATACCTTTACCCATCAATTTGCATTGCTGGCTCAAATTCTGAAGTGAACAACTCCTTGTATAATGGAGGAAAATGAAGTCGTACAATGTCTGGGTATATTGCTTTGAATGCCATTAGCTTTTCTGTATGTCGTCCACATAAGGCTCTTAATGTAGACACCTTGCATATTAACTGTAAATGGAAGAAAGGACATACTGTCAGCAGAGAACAGACATGAGAATCAAAACTCAGGGAATCTGATGATCTTTACGACACTGTTTATGATGGTGAAACACACTCAAAGCGACTCAGACATCCAGTAATAAAAAATTGATAAAAATAAATAATGATACAATCGTATCACAGAATATCAAGTAAACATTAAAAAATATGGTTTTGAAAACAAATAATAATGATCTGAAAAGATGTTCATAAGCAAAAGTGGTAGAGTTGAGACAAGAACCCAAATCTCTCACTTCCTGTTTCTATTCCAACATACTTTCTGCTCTACCATCCTGAGCCCTGCCTTCAACCACTGTGGGTAACTAAGAGATCTGGTGACAGAGAAGAAGGCAAGGAGGCAGATGCTGGCATTCCCTACATATTTACGCAGAATGGGTACCAGCCAACTCCAATGACAACAAGTTTCTTTTCGAGAAAGAGCTTTGTCTGTAACACAGCAATTCTGGGTCTAAGCAAAAGACCCTGTGCAGAGAAATAAAATAAAGACTAGTCAGAAGGCCTGGAAGAAGTCCCAGCATTGACCACTTACCACTTGAAGATTTTTACCAATTTGGCTTGCAAAAATGCTTTTAAATTCTAATGCACTGTGCAAGGGCAAAATACTTACTATTTCAACCCAGAATAATCCTCTCTAAGAAACATTTTCACGTGATCATGGATATGGTGCATGGGTTAGGTGCTGTCTATAATAAAAGATGCTAATGGCTCCTGTGTCCTGGGGGCAAGCAGACAAAGAGGGGAAGTCTCCTGAGAGTTCTTCCCTCTATTTCCCATTCCTGCCTCAAGTTCTCATGCAACAGGTACAAAAGTAAAAGCAAAACAGCTTCTACTTTCTGACCTAATCTAGCTATCAGGAGAAAAGAAAACAGGAAGAAAAATCCAAACCTTTCAAATCATTTTCTTGAGCACCAAAACACATGACATAATCCAAGAAAGAATAGCACTGATTTTTCTAAGATCAAGTGCATACTACATGCTCTAGCACAGAAGGATAGTAGCATTATTTTAAATTGACACCCTAATTATATTTTTATTGCGAAGGATAATAATTAGCAAAAATGAAACCTTAGGCTTTGAATACAGGGTAATAATGGGAGATTGATGAAGAAAATACAAGTCATTTATTGTTAATTACTAATGAATTTAATGGAAATAGAACTAATATTGGAATATATGGTCATCCTGAGTTTTAGTCCTTCAAAACTTCCTTCTAACTTCAAAGATTCTTTCTCTAATTTATATCAATGCAGGATGCTTTATAACTAACGAAAGTAAAAATTTAACCTGAATTTTGGCCCAAGAGAATATTTTGAAATGGAGATACTTCTTTCTTTTCAGTAGCTTGTTGTTTACAAATACTTTTAGGGCCTGGTCAAGCTACTATAAGAGCGACTGTTGGCATGATCTCTGGAAAGGGGTAATTCAGGCCGTGCCAGCTGGAGACCTTTGGCTCTCACCTTTGTTAGTATTCCATCCTCTCGGTGATTCTTCTGTAGGACATGTTGAAGAGCTAGCTGAATTTTCTGTTGCAGTTTTTCAATTTTTACCTTTTCCTGCAGCCACGAGCGATCTAAATATGAAAAAATGATACTTCTTAGTATTCCCCCAACTTGTCAGAACCCCCCAATTCCTCCTGACGCTAACACAGAGATTATTATGCCATAATGCAGTTAGGGATTAATGGGCCATTTTCACTTCTCTTTCAAATTGGCTCCTAAAGGAGTGGAAAACTGATCGATGACAGTTCCAGAACAAAGTGTTAAACCTTTCCACTTATGCTGATACTGAAAGGAAGGGAGGGTCCTCCTCTTCCAAAAGAAAAGCCATTTAAATCTAAGGCCATGCTTGTACGAGTACAGATGAAACTACCATGGCCCCTTACACTCTGGAAAGCATTAGATTTCTGAATGAAATACTCCTATCAATCCTGCTAGCCTTTCCTGCAAATATGAAAACTGCCTTATTATCCAAGGCAACTAAAATTGTCAATAGAATTCCAAAGGTCTTCAGGGTTGTTCACTTAGGATAAAGCCCAAATAGAAGACAGTAAATTAGCAAAACTGATTATATCCAAGAGGCAGTACTGGTTGACAGCACAGATGCAATTCAGATAAATTTGTGGATGACATCACACGGATGTGAAGAAAGGTGTATGTTTTAGAACCACAGAATTTCCCTCAGCATCCGGGGTTAACTGTGGATGGCATTTTATTCTATTGTCGTTTCTTAAGATTGTATCAGAATGACATGGGGTCTTCTTCAGAGGGTATATGTATGTGTGTGGTTTGGGGGGAGGTTCGTATTTGAAAAACTTGCTATTAGATTTAGTAACAGTGGCAGCCTTGTTCGGTAGCCTCCTTGAATATTCTCTAGTCATGAAAAGTTAGGTACCTTATAAGAATTCTTTACCTGGACAATTTTTAACCCATTTTTATTTTTCTTTGGTTATCTTACCTGCTGACATGAGTACAAATGCAGAAAATAATGCAATTTCATCTTCAGTCAGGTGCATAGAACATAAACTCTTTCCAAATTCAAATACAAAGCTAATAAAGTCTTCACAACCTGCCAAAATTAAAGACCATTTAGGATTTGGGTTATTACCCTATGGGAAAAATATGAAAGGAAGGGAAGAGGGATCTAGTCATTGACGATCAGAGGGTGTAATAGTAACATTTCTACTTTTTGATAGTTTGAAACCTTAAAAATCTATTCAGCCACCATCACTTTCACCACTACCATCACCATCATTCAAAATAATGAGAGTGAACTTTTGTTGTGTGACTGCCATGTTAGGTGCCACTTTAAGAGGTTTCTTTGGGTACCCTGCTACATCACAACAGCTCTAGGAGGGAGCTATTATTAGTACTATCCCCACTTTAGGGGTGAAGAAACAGACTTAAAGAGAAAAATAATGTACCTAAGGTTACACAGGTGGAAGTAACAGCCTGAGATTCAAAGCTGGAGCCTCTGCCTGATATCAGAGCCCACATTCTTCACCAATAGAATCTAACAGCTACAATCTAACTGAAAAGTTAAACACATTCTCTCTCTCTCTCTCTCTCTCTCTTTTGGTTTTCTACTCTGTTCGATCTAAAACACCCTTAAAAATGGTAACACATGATCCATGGTGGTGGTAAAATCATTATAACTATTACAAACCTGAAAAGAGAATGTGAAACTCCCATAAAGCAATACTCCATCCCCAAAAGACTTTTAGTCTGGTGTCTGTTCTTTCAGATTTGCATATTATGTCTACATATTTAAAGGACAATGGGTTATATTAAAGGATACACACCTTCTATCATTTAACTGTTTTTTACAATCACTTAATATATCTTGGATACTGTCCCATTCTTAATGATTATATCCCACTTTATTTAAATTTCAGAAATTCAAAATATTTTAGAAATATATGTCACAATTTCACTTGGCTATACTTTATTTCTTTGATGCATTCATTTAATTCTTATTAATGGTTGTAGTCTGAGGAGTATGAGAGGGCAGACTTTTATCTTCTTTATGTATCAAATCAGATCCCTAGTTTATCTATATATCTATATGTCTATAATATATCCCCTGCAAATCTGATTCTTAAAATCTGGAAAGCAGCTAGAAAGATATATAATTCTCTTTGATTACCAACTAAATAAAACAGAACTCCAGACCTTTATGAATAATATAGACAAAAAGTGTTAGAGCAGTATGAATTTTCTACAGTGACTTAATAACGAAGTAACTTAAGCATAGAACCCTTTCATTTTTGGTTTCAAATAACCAATTCCCATTTTGTTCAGTAAGAGCTGTCACCCAACTCCCATCTTTTCCTGTAGCCCTGATTTAACGACAAAGCACGAGAGATTTCCTCACCTAAGGATTTGAAGACATCGGGGCTAGCGTATTTCCCATCAAAGTACACGGTGTTGTTCTGAGAGTCAAAGGCACGGCACATTCTGATAAACACCACCTCTAGAGAACCTAAGCAGAGCAGAAACGGTATGATTATTCTGTCTCGGTGGGTTTGTTTTGGAGGCACTAACGTGGAGACCCTTTCCGAGTCAGCCCCATGGGTGTTGCATCCGGTTTAGTTAGAGGGCCTCAGTCACATTAGCTTTCTACTTAAAAGGGCAAAGTTCACTAGTGTAATTAAAGACTTGTGTAGAAGCTAAGGCTTGTATTACTGAAGAGACATCGATTTACAAATTATTTCTTTGGCATTCTTCTGTACTGCAGACAACATAGAGTCTCAAGAGTTGCCAGGAAAACATTGGTTCATAGTTATAAAAAGAAAAAGACAAAAACAAAAACAAGGATGTTTCTTGCAGTTCTACAAACAATCTTCTTCCTAACAGCTTATTGTGACCTCGGGAGGAGCTGCTGTGTAGAACAACACACAGGTGATGGTAAAAGTGGAGATTGCATGTGTCCGTCAGATTAATCTTTTCACCCAGAGGAGAAGCAAAATGGATGGAACAATTCCTGAAAAATTGCACAAAAACCTTTAAAAAGAACTATTTCTGCCAAGCGAAACCTGAGCTATCATCATCGGAGAGAAACTGTTCCTGACACCTTCCTTACCCAAGCATTTCTTTAATAAGCTGGTGAAAGCCAGTTAGGAAGAGATCTCAAAATTCACCTGCAAAGCACATACCTGCTTTGAGAAGCACGATTTGATCATTTTGACACAGTTCCATAAATCCATCAATGCGTTTGGCAAACTCCACCACATACTGTATAGCTTCTGTAATTTTGATGGCACACAATTGCCACATCACCTCCCGCTGCTGTGGAAGAGGGACACACATTAGTGTACACAGTCACCCATATCCTTGACCCAGTTGTTTTAACTGTTCCTATTTTGTAAAATCGTTCTTTGGAAATGGAGTCCAAAAAGCTAAAGGATTAAAAAGATAAACAGTTGGCCAGTTATTTGGGTTATAAGACTGGCTTCCAAGTCCTTTCTCAACTCCTCCAATTCCTCTCTTACCATTTTGGTGGCAAAGGACAGGGAAGATGTTTGGTGGCAGAAGATGAAAGCCTGAGTCAGGAAAGCAACACATGCCACTGCTTTACCCCTGGGCCATGCAGAGGAGCAAAACGGATCTTCCTTTAGGCGATTATTTTGCCTGGGAATTTACCACCACTTTACTGGGGGAAGGGAAAAACAGGCAGTCCATTACAGTTATTGTCCACCTGCTCTAAGACAGGAGCTTTATGACATCTTTGTCTCATTTCATTTTCACAAGAACACTTTTCCGTTTTCCATGAATGGACATGAATGTGCAGCGATTGGTCGGTCAGGGAGCTGGGATCAAATCCCGCCATCTCTGACTCTGAATCCCACCTCACAGGACAGGCCGCCATTCATTCTGCTTTCTTGCTTCCCTTCGTATCTCTGGCTGCTGGTGTCACCTGTCACCTCAAAGGCAACAAGTGACGTGTTGCTATCTCCAATCTGTCCAGCTTCATTCCCTTTGTATTCCCACTCTTTAATTTAGTTACAGGGTGACCTGGATCTGCTGTGTTGTTCCCTTGTTTCTGCAATCTCAGTTTAAGACTCTTTCCACCAAAATGGTGGGTGAAAGAAACACTGAATTAGGAGCCAGGAATCACGGTCTAGCCCTGACGTTTTCACTTGCCAGCCGTATACCGGGGGATGCTGGTTCCCTTGTACGTAAAATGAAGGAGAGGATTAGATAATTTTTATGGTCCTTCCTAACCCTGAGTTTCTGTGATTGTTGGGAAAAATCACAGCATTCTCTTTCACCAAAGGCAGAATGGATCATTAAAATTCCCCTTTTCCAGCCCTGCCCTCCCATTTTGATGGCTTGTTGGTTTGACTGTTTTACTGAAAATGGCAGGTAGGGGCACCATGTGTCAGCCTCACCTTGCTGGGTGCAGACTGGAGTTAGGATCATAGCTGCCTAACTTTTTTTGTTGTTGTTGTTGTTCAAGCACTCTCTAAGCTCCTTCTGAACCTCTGGAAGCATGAGGCTGGGATTATTTTATATCAACTTCTGGATCTTGAAATCTCCCACTGTGCTATGGGACAAATTCCAATTCATTTAAGCTTTTTGGAAGCTGCTTAATCTAGCCCTCTGTTGACATATGATAGGAGATATGCATTTAGGCACAGTAGAATTCATTTGCTGTTGCTGAAATTTTGCATACTTGCATCTCAGTAAGATGACAAAGGCCCATGATCAGTACATGATCAGTCTGAAAGAAAGAGTGTAAAACAGAAATCTGATGTCTGATGAAAGACATTCGTTCTATGGTCTGTATTCTGGATCAAATTTCCTGCACAAACACCCTTCCCAATGTTGCCTCAGTCCTAGGTGAAATTTTCCAGCATATACCTTGTTTTGATAACTCTCAATCTCCTCCTGCAGAAAGGTCTGCCACGTTATCTGCTGGAGCTCTTCTCTCAAGTATTGGCAAGTTTCCAGGTGTGACTTAGATATATTCTGTGCAAGGTGCTCTAAGGAGAGAACAGAAGATCACGACGATGAAAAGCCAGTTTCTTCTTTGGATAATCAGTGTTTTCCCTACTAAATATTGGATTTAAAGAGTAACGAGTATAAAGAAATATACTGAACCAGTTTTAATTACCTTTACATATTTACATAAGCAGTTTGGAGCTATTCTGTATTTTGGAACATGAGGATGAACGACAGGCAAATGTAACATTTAGCGATAAGGCTCGGTTACTTCAAAGAACCGCCCCCCTTGCCCTTGACCTCCTTCTCTGCCTTTACATCAACATCGGGAATGAACAAATATTGACCAAGGTAGGTGAAGGGAATGATTGACAAAGCCTCTTCTTGGCATTTTTAGGAAGACACATCTGCCATATACATTGATCCGGGGAGGATTACTCCTGAAAAATTAGGAAATGGCATGCTTTTGTGACAATGACTATGTATTTCAGAACAAGCATTACTGAGCACCTCCTGTGTCACTTTATAAAGTGTGGTGATTAAGAGATGATCTCTGGAGCCAGACTGCCTGGGTCTCAATCTCAGCGCTGTTCCTTCCTAGCTCTGTGATCTTGGGTAAGTTACGTAACCTCACTGTGCTTTGGTTTCCTATGTCCTAGGGCGTCTGTGAGAATTAAATGAGCACTTTGAACAGTGGGGTTACATAGTCTGTGCTGCCCAAACATTTGTTCTTGTACAGGAGTACGGGGAGTTTGAAGACATGAAGAGAAACAGATGTCAAAGAAGTTTTTCTGGGAGCTTAAAATCTCTTGAACATGTATGGATACACTGACAGGGTGATTCAAGACATTAGACAATAAAACAGGAAGTTCAATTACATCAGGAGAGAAAAAAAAAGATAACGGGTGCTGTCAGGGAAGGGAGAGATAACAGGATTAGGGGATGTTTCTTGGCAGGAAAGGAACATTTGAGTTGCACCACGAAGGATAAAGAGGACTTGGTAGGCAGGGGCCAGTGGTGTGAGGAGGTGGTCCAGTTCCACCTTTGAGGGATGGGAGATGGAGGAACAAATATATGGAATTTATAGGAGACAGGCAGATGGGATAAAGCAATAGTATCAAAACAGAAATAGGAGTGGGTTAAGAGTCCATTTCTTGAAGGATTTTGAATGTTGAGAGTTTGGACTTGAGTAACAAATGGAGTCAGACTTTCTTAAGGGGGAGCTGACATAGGGACACTGTGTTTGGGGAAATGAAACAAGCAGTTTTATAATTGGTGGATTGGAGGCTGGAAGGGCTGGAAGCAGGAGGACCAATTAGTAAGAGGGCTGCTGGAATGAAGCTGTCAAGGATGAAGAGCGTGAAGTAGGCTGGAGATAACTTATGGGAGGGAGGGACAATTAAAGAAGCATTTTAAAAGAGGAATTGACAAGATTCCATGACTATGAAACCGTACCCAAAAGTGATCCCCCCTACCAGGGTTTTGAATCTATAATAGGAAAACCACTTAAAAGAATGTTGCCTAATGCAATTGGCAACACTAGTAAGAGTGTCTATTTGGAAATTTGTTAGCGCTTTTGTCAAATAAAATCAGACTTGTTTGTGTGAAAACAGAGCAGATTCACTTAAATGACACTTGAAACTAGAATTTCCCTAGAGACAATGAAATACAATAAACCTTAACAGCCCTGCTTGGAAATACACAGACATGAAAACAACATAAATAAATATTGTAAAAACATAAACAAAAAAATGAAAGGACAGAAAGGGATGGAGAGAAACAAGAGGAAGCTGGAGAAACTAGTAAATTATGTGTCTTAAAATCAATGATGCTTGTGAAGAGAGGAGGGGAATAGGGATAAACATAATGGGAGTCACAAACAAGAAAATAAATACATAAATAGCAAGCCAATTTTTGCAGATATGAAAAAAATGATGATGAAGTGCACACAGGGAGGCTGGGGAATCCTTGAGGTGAGGAACAGGAAGAGGTTGACAGTATTCTCTTCCAGACCATGCTCATCGTGGTTAGGATGCTCTTCCAGTTAATATGCTCATCATTTCACTAATATGGTCAATTTCACTTCATCCTAAAAATTGTTCCTACTCATTCCCTACCTGCGAGTCCCGCTTTCAGTCAGACAAATGATGCAGTGTACCTGATGAGCCAGTAGAGGGCAGTGGCTGCATTCTCACATACAGCCAATGTCTAGAAACTTCAGATGGAAAATCTTGACTTTTGAGTTAGTCACAGATTTTTCACAGTAGGAAGGCACTTTAGACATCATCTTGTCCAAACTCTCCTCAGTTTACAGATACATTAATAATGATGACAACAGTTAACATTTACATAATGTTTACTATGTGCCAGTCTCTTATATGCATATTCTGAATATACACATTTTCTAAATCTTCATAGCAACCTTAGGAGGAAGACAGTAATATTATCCCCACTTTACAGATGATGAAATTGAGCCAGGGCGGGGTTAACTGACTTCTCAAAAGTGTCATAGTTGGCAAGTGGCTAGTGATTCAAAAACGCACACTTTGGCTCCAGAGTTTGTGCTCTTAATCTTTACATTCTACAGGTAAGGGAGACTTGCAGAGGTTACATGATTTACAGTGGGGTGTAAACTGATAGCGAAGCTAAGACCACAACCCTTATAAGCTGCCTTGTTGTTTTATGCTTTGCCCAATATATCAGCTGTCTCTCCTACACAAGGCTCTAGTCACTGATCGTAATAACAAGTGCAGTTAGCTTTTTTTTTTTAATGAATCTAGATTATATATCTGGAATGTATAGTTCAGATACTAATTGTATGTACATCCACAGCAAAATTTCCTAGCCAGGAATGCAGACATATTTCCATTAAAAATAATCAACTGCAGATACTATTACTGAAAGATAGAATTGGCCATAGGATATGTTAATTTATTATTATTTTCCAAGTACAATTGGTTTCATTTGTATAAAATCCGATGGCAAAATTTAGCCTAAAAGGAAGTTAAGACCCTTAGTTAAAGAGAGAGCAAAACTCAAGCCCTAAAGGCAGCACCTGGGACCCTGAGACAGTTTTTGAAGGAGCAGCAGTCTTTGGCCACTTTTATGTTACTCTTTGCTCCTCAAACCATTTTGTACAGAACGGGATAGAAAATTAGACCCAATTATATCCTTTTCAGATAACTTCTTGCTTAGTTTTGTGTTTGGGACCAATCCTAGTGACGAGTCAATTTTTTCATCCTGGAAAATGTGACAGCACATGTGAAAAGCCCCTAATTTAGGAGAGCATGGGGAATGTGTAATGGCCCCCTGCTCCCAGCCCACCAGTGCAAGAGGAAACTGACAAATGGGGGGGCGGGGGGCGCAACCGGGAGAACTGGCTCAGCCATTTCTGGCCCCACTAAGGTATCAGTGCTCATTTAGCTGAATTGCCATATTTAAGGGCAATATGCTGTCAAAGCCCTGTGGATTTATCTCAGAGTTGAACATTTGATAAGCAAACAGGATAGATTCACTAGTATTTATGATAAGGTGGAAGCAAACCTAAAGTGAGCCGGGTCATTTTTCATGATATCATGCCGGCTTTCCATCAAACCCTTGTTCATTTCTGAAAATTTTACTTTCATTACAGTTCTGCTTAAGGCTCAGCCAACCAAGATTTCATGACAAAAACGGGAAGTTTTTGTTCTAGTTCAAGAAAAAAAAAAAAAATCAAACCTACCTCTGCTCAGCTTGGCTTCTAGTTCAGAGGTTTCTCTGCTAATCAAAAGAGCTGCGATACACCTTTAATGCTGTTCGGTGGTTAAAGACCAGGCTTAAAATGTCCCTGCTCTTGAGGATTTAAATTTAGACCCATAAAGAGGTGCTTGTGGAAAAACCGTAAAGAACATTCAATTTGTTCTATTTGGAGAAAGATTTTACTGGAAATATAAATTTCACTTAAAAATGTTTTATGGGGTACAGAGGTGGAGAAATCATCTGAAGAACACAGCCGTTATTTCTGTGAACTGAGGATGTCTGTGCTCAAGTCAGAACCTGCTGGCCCTTTCCCATCTGAAGTCTTCATTTTCTCCTCGAATTAACTTAGTCTCTCCACAGCAACTAATTGAAATATCCCAGAGGATTATAACCTTGTGTGAGGAATCATGGGGAGGAGCAGATCAATTCTAAAACTGTAAAGCTTCTTACCAAAGTTTCCTCTAATAATAGTGTTGTACTTAAAAACCGATTAAATATAACAGGATGTTAACACACCTTCCTTGAAATGGAAAGTTTTCTGCTGTCTGCGTTACCAATGTTTCTAGGTCACATCTCCTGAGAAGCAGCAATGTTACTGGCATAAGGAAATGACAGGGTTTTTTGTTTTTCTTTTTTTTTTTTCATGGTGAGTCTTCTAAGAAACACATCAGTTTTGTTACCAATATTTATCACCAACATAGTTTGATGAATAAAAAAGCCATTTCCCTTTAACATTTACAGAATACATTGGTGTTGCAAAACTTACATGCCTACAGGGGCTGGGCAGTGTTATAAACGGGAAAAGGTGAATGGGCCCACCTAGAGGTGGTTGGGCCTAACTGGTGCCAGTAGCCAATGCTGGCCCAGTGTAACTAGATCATTTTTCCCCCTCCCACAAGAAGCTGAAAATCTGAACTTTCTGGTAGAATTGTCCAGTCTGAAAACTTTAGCAACTGATTTTGAAAAATTTTTAAACTCTGCACTGGTCCAAAAAAAAAACATGTCTATGGACCAGGTTCAGTTTGTGGGCTGCCATTTTCAGGGCTTTAGGTATAAAGCAATACCTGGGTTATAACTGAAGTAAATATCAAAGCCGATGGGGCCATTCCCAGGGCTTATAGCTTTCTGTGGAACTTAATGACTACTTTAGGTTCATGTTCCATTTCCGATGCACCTCTTGGATATATGATAGGAAACAGCGGACAGTCACGGCAAGGGGGCCAGGGTAGAATAATGAAGCAGTCCAAATGGTAAAGGTGAATTGCCCTTTTAGTTGCATCATTTTAATAACATAACCCATCAGAGGAAAGTCAAGCCTATCCTGGGTATTTCAAAGGCATGAGCCGCGCATCCCAGCGGAGACATGGAAGACGTTACCTAATTCGGCCATGGACACCGTCGGGGACGTCTCTCCATTGGTGAAGGAACAGTAGGGAAAGAAGCCGGATGCTGGTGTGTAGTCACATATTGGTTCTGGTTTGATTCCATTGATATCAAGCCCTGACTGGTCCGGGGAAGGCTGTATGTCCAGGTAGAAGCTGCTGACGGCAGAGTCCGCCTTGCTCCCCTCAGGGGTGTGGCCGTCCATGTAGCCGCCCAGGTCGTCGTGCAGCTCTGTGAGCCCGTTGGCCGAGATGCTGTAGGTGGGGGTGAGTGGCTCGGCCTCCCCGGGCTGCTGCTCTCGTTGCTGCTGCTGCAGCCGATGTTTCTGCACCTCCGCGTACAAGCTGTCCCTCTGCTTCTTCGACATTCGGCCAAATTTTACGGCTGAAAGAGAAAAGCCAAGCCACGGCATAGACAACGTGCTTTTCTTCCTTTATCCTCTCTGGCACGCTCTAAGGGTTCCTTTGAGGTCTCAGACAATTGCAATCAAACTCCACATTACATAAAATAAGGACAAGATCCAGAGGTGAGAAGAGCGCTCGCTACCCACACAGTCTTGCTCTACACCTTCAAGAGCAGAGACACGTCCCAGGGAGGTAAGCGTCAGAAACAGACCCAGGACCGGCGGAAGAGACCCCGAGCAGTGACCGCCTATGCTCCCTGAGGCCACATACCCCACACTCCGTGTGAGCTGCTGATATGTGACTTACTGCTGATATATGTTTACTCTCCACCCACGCAGCTGGCCTAGACCACCTCCTCCTCTTCCCAGGGGCCGGACCAACGCACACGCAGTCAAAACTCAGCTCTCATTCATTTCACTACTCTGGGTTCATTACACTTGAACGCATTTCTTCCCAAACAGCTGAATCTGGGGCTTTGTTGAGAGACCTAGACAGACCAGACCGGCCGGGCCTGTGCAATTCCCCGAGTGACATCTCTGAGGCTACCTGACCCCCGCCCCTCCTCCTGGGTCATGGTGGCTCCTAGGAAACCTTTGGACCCATCTTTAAATGACACTTTCTGCTGCTCTCATTTAGCCGTAAGTAAGAAGAAAACCAGAATTTTGGAGAGGGCAAACACTGTGTAAGGTCCCCGTTGGGATAATTTGTGCTTGCAAAGCTTCTCATTGTGATGTTCCCAAATTTAAAGTGGGGCAATCAATGACTTAGTAACTTTCCAGTTCATTCAGAATCCCAAATGATTTTTCCTAAAATGCCCAGATAATTGAGAAAAAAACCCTGTGATTTCCTGGTCTGAATTCTCCTAGTAACCCATTTAATGTCTCAGCCTGTCTCTCTACATGCAGGTAAAGCCTGTGCTGGGGGAGCCAAGACCTAATCAACTGGGGCTAAATGTATGGCTGACAAGGTGGATGAACTCACGCATCTCACCACCATGGTAATTGTGAGTCTACGAGCAGGGGGCAGGAGAGACGCAAGTGAGGTGGGGAGCCGGGGCTGCCCCCTGGAGCAGCTGCTGGTGGATTCTTCTCCGCCAAGGAGGATGCGCTCTCCCTTTGCAGAGGAAATAGGTGAGCTGGGCACTGGTCAATTTCCAGGTTCCTGTGACTCAGGTAACAAACCTGGGTGGGGCTGGTTAGACAGCAATCAGGCTGATGTGGGCTCTGAATTTCAGGCCTAAAATTGTATAAGGCCCTGAATTTACTTCAAGCCCACTTCAATGGGTGGTGTCATTTATATGCAAAATCTCTATAGGCATTTTGAAGGTTCTTTGCTTTCCTTTTATTTTTTTTGCAAAGTGTGCTCGAGAGTACCCAAGGAGATTAACCCCACAGGTGACACTCATTCAGCTGTGGCTCTGAATTGTGTTTTAACTTTTGCCTAAATATTAACGTCAGGAATCATACCATCCTATAAGGGAAATGAAGGGATCAGTTCTTGGGAAAATACACACACAACTTGTGATTTTAACTTATGAGCTCAGAAGATGCATATCTAGCTTTGTCAGGCTAGTGCCACCGGAAGACGAAATCTGCAGTCACAGGAATTTCTGAGAACACAGTGGAAGAGTCCTGGGGCTTATATCTCCAATGCCAACTTCATTTTCATGCCTATGTATTCTAAGAGGCCATCCTGTGCAGCCCTGCCGAAGGCTGTCATAACTTGCACCTGGGTAAGTCTGCAGGCCGCCCCCTGACCCCCAGAACATCTGATTATGGGGAAGGCAGGCTGTCAGAACACCTGCCCAGGGTTCTGAAGTAGTTTTCCACAGGCTGAAATGTCATTGGAAGGCATGTTTCCTTCAAAGGGATCTCTTAAGAGAGCCAGCCAGCCAGCATATTCAGAAAAGTCTCTTTAAAATGTACCCACTGTATTTTCTGCCAGTTTCCTGGTGTAAGAATAACTGTCTTGAAATCTGGTGCTGGTTATTCAGGGCATTTAAGACAGTTTCCCAGGAAGATCTTGGAATGCTTAGCAATTGAGTGGTAGATGGTCTCTATTTCTTAAAATAGCTTCTTTTAATGAAAAAAACGTTTGTCATTGAGCCATGCTTTGCACTATTTTCACACGTTCTGTATGTACAAATATTTGGCTTTGGCTTATGATTCAAAATATCCAGTTAGCATAAAAACTAATTCATCCCAAATGCTAATAAATGTAACCAGTGTAAAGTATGTAACAATTAGTCCCAGCTTGTTGTTTCCTGCTGGGCATAATTCTACAGGAGGTATATTTATTAAGGCCTTCAGAGGAGACACTTACAGTCAATTCATCCACCTGTAATGTCTTAAATGCCAAAAACCTGAAGGTGTCCTGCCCACAGACACTTCTCCTCCATGCCACCTCCCCATCAGCAGGTCAGCTGACTCTTGGATTAGGGAGGAGGAAGTAGCTGCAGTTGAGACTCCCAAAGCCAGCAGAAGAGGGGATGTGGGGTGGGGGAGAGGGACAGGGGTACATGTTTTGGCAGACGTGGGTCCAGGTTTCCGAAGGCACTGTCACCACCCCATGTTACTGTACAACCCAAGCTGTGAGCACTCACCGTCTCGAGACATCCCCACGGCAAGGCATTTCTGTAATCGACAGTGTTGGCAGCGGTTTCTACTGGTCCGGTCAATCAAACAGTTCTTCTGACGAGGACAGGAGTAGGTGGCATTGCTTTGCTGACTTCTCCTGAAAAAGCCCTGTGATTCAGTTAGAAAATATAGAACAGGTTAGTGTCAGTTTGAGCTGTGTGAGACTAAAGGCAGTATACTAAGCACAGAGCAGCATTAATATTTAATAGAGAATTAAACTTGCAGCACAACCATCCAGGAGACCATTAATGAAATTAAAGCCACTTTTTTTTCCTTGAGTAAAATTGATCCCCAGAGCCTAATCCTCTGTCCCTTACACACGCACAACCTTCTTTAATTCCGACAGATGGTTGCCTATGTGAAGGGCATGGGATCAGGTCCTGTTCTTGCCTTCTGATGATCAAACACTATGTGCTTGATGCATTGGTACAAAGGCACTTACCTTTAACCTTTATCTCCAAAATACTTTTAGTAGCATAAACACAAAATACTTCTTTGGAATGTCCAGAGATAAGGAAAATGGAGCCTCACTGTAACCCAGGGTGGCTGCAGTCCTGGTACACTGTGGTGATCTCTACTAGCCCACTTAAATCCATCACCCACTCTGGCTTCTTGCTTTCCCCAAGACAGTCTACTGCTCCAAGAAGCTAAAGGACACTTGGATGGATTCTCTTGGCAGATCGGTCAGACTGGGAATACACTTCAACCTTTAACAGTTCGGAAATACCCTGTGTTCAGTATCATGGTCTTCAAGATTTAATAAATCCAATCTGATGATCTTCAAGTTCTACTTATTTGTTAAGCAGTGTTTTGGAAATGAGAAGGTATAAAAGATGTATATGAAGCTACTGCCTTCAAGGATTTTTCTCTTTTCTTTCTTCTTTCATTCATTTATTTTTGCTAACTTCTTGTGTTGAATTCTCACCACGTCATTAATTTTCAGTGTTTATTTTTTTCTTAAAGTTTCAAATTTTCCTTTTGGTAACAACCTACAAGGTTTGCTATGTAGTATTTTCATTATTCGATTGAAAATATGCTCTAATTTTCAACAGATTTCTGTTTTAATCCACTTGTTACTCAGAAGCACAGGTCTTACTTTCCAGACTTATGGAGGATATGGGGGTTGGTCATCTTCCTGCTGTTGACCTTTGTACTCTGAAGACACAGAAGGGGACTGAAGTCACCTCTGTGACGCGGAGCCATGAAAGGTACAGAAGAGTATTATCATCTTCAAATCCTTGGTGGAAAAGATAGTTGACCCCCCAAATAAGACAGTAGTGATGAGGGGAGAGGTAACGTTCTGAAGAATTGGCAGAGTGGCAGGAAAAATGATACGGATACTCTCTCATCAAAAGATTTTTCTGGAGACCAACTTGGCACTTGTATGAAAATCCTTGAAAACAGGCCTGTTGAACAAGTAACTAACCTTTAAGGAATATATTTTAAAGGAATATTTAGAATGGTATAAAGATTAACCTACAAGGATGTTCATCATAGCACTATCTATAATATAAAAAAAATAATTAAGGAAGGTGCCAAATGTCCAACTTAGTGCATTGGAAGAGTCACCCTGGATAGCCATACATTCAGCAACCATTATAAATGGTATTTCAGAAATACATTGACATAAAAAGGTAATTACAAATATAGCACTGAATGAAAAACAGCTAAAGAACAAAACACAATGTAATTCAATATTTGGAAAAACAAGTTAGATGTAGAATAACCTTTGGAAAATTGTGCCCCACATGAAAAGAATGTTGTCACTGGGTGGCAGGACCATGGGTGATTTTAATATAATTTGTGTTTATTTGTGCTTTTTGATTTTTCTATAGTATGCAATATTGTAAGAATATAGTCCACCTGCTCTCTTCTGTGGTGGCTGGGGGACTTTGTGGATGGATATGATGGGTCTGACCTCAGTTCCCAGTTCTGACCTTTTGGTACTGACCTGGGATGGTAGGGGCTGGGGCACTGACCTCTCACCCCCCCAGGGCTCTCTGCCAAGCTGCTTGCTGGCCTAAATATAACAGAGACAAAGCTGCAGGCCTAGGTTCCTGGACTGCCTCTCTGCTGTGCTTAAAACCTCTCTAATATCAAGTCTGGCCTCAGTCTAAAGCTGTGGAGTTTTCTGTACTTTCTCCCCCTCTGTGAAAACTAAGTGAGAAGTAAAGCTTTCTTTGGGGCTTAATGGAGAGCATTCAAGAAAATAAAAATACAAAATATAACAGAGGCATTTAATCCCTACAGAGAGATAGCAGGAGGTCACCTGTTAAGGCATTCAGTTTGGTCTGAGACACATAATCTCTGTCTAAACTGACAGGTGTTCATTTTTTCCTTGAGACTCTGCCACCGTGCAGGCCCTCTGTGTTTGCTGTTGCTGCAGGTGTCCAGGATCAGGAATTACTTGCTTTTCCTTGATTTGAGGCTGGATTTTGCTTACTTCCCAATGAGCCTCTTCCATTTTTTTCCATGAGCATAAAGTCTGAAGAATGTCCGAGCAATGTCTTTTCTCTTTAAATGGAACTGGTACTTGAGGATACCAAGTTGTCTCTCAGTATCTCATCTGTGGGCCAGATCACAGCATCCACCACCTTTCTTTCTAAATACTTTTCCACCTTAAGCATTTGTCCTCAGATCCTCTCCAATTTCCCCATTTCCTTAAAAAATCTGAGATCCAGAACTAGACATAGCTCTTAAATAATGGCTGGGTCATGAACAAAAAAGGATGCCACTTTTTCCACATTAAACTTAACATCAACCACCACGAATAGAGTCCCAGAATGTTACCACATAAGCCACATACAACCGCCAGTTTGCTCTGCTACAAGGGAACTCTGAGAGGGCATGATGATGATTAACTGAGAAATCTTAATGAGTACTTGTATTAATCATACCTTCTTATTCTGTGTTTTTGATGCTTTGACATCCTGGGGCCTTGTTGCAAATCCAATCTGATGATCTTCAAGTTCTACTTATTTGTTAAGCAGTGTTTTGGAAATGAGAAGGTATAAAAGATGTATATGAAGCTACTGCCTTCAAGGATTTTTCTCTCTTTTCTTTCTTCTTTCATTCATTCATTTTTGCTAACTTCTTGTGTTGAATTCTCACCACGTCATTAATTTTCAGTGTTTATTTTTTTCTTAAAGTTTCAAATTTTCCTTTTGGTAACAACCTACAAGGTTTGCTATGTAGTATTTTCATTATTCGATTGAAAATATGCTCTAATTTTCAACAGATTTCTGTTTTAATCCACTTGTTACTCAGAAGCACAGGTCTTACTTTCCAGACTTATGGAGGATATGGGGGTTGGTCATCTTCCTGCTGTTGACCTTTGTACTCTGAAGACACAGAAGGGGACTGAAGTCACCTCTGTGACGTGGAGCCATGAAAGGTACAGAAGAGTATTATCATCTTCAAATCCTTGGTGGAAAAGATAGTTGACCCCCCAAATAAGACAGTAGTGATGAGGGGAGAGGTAACGTTCTGAAGAATTGGCAGAGTGGCAGGAAAAATGATACGGATACTCTCTCATCAAAAGATTTTTCTGGAGACCAACTTGGCACTTGTATGAAAATCCTTGAAAACAGGCCTGTTGAACAAGTAACTAACCTTTAAGGAATATATTTTAAAGGAATATTTAGAATGGTATAAAGATTAACCTACAAGGATGTTCATCATAGCACTATCTATAATATAAAAAAAATAATTAAGGAAGGTGCCAAATGTCCAACTTAGTGCATTGGAAGAGTCACCCTGGATAGCCATACATTCAGCAACCATTATAAATGGTATTTCAGAAATACATTGACATAAAAAGGTAATTACAAATATAGCACTGAATGAAAAACAGCTAAAGAACAAAACACAATGTAATTCAATATTTGGAAAAAAAAGTTAGATGTAGAATAACCTTTGGAAAATTGTGCCCCACATGAAAAGAATGTTGTCACTGGGTGGCAGGACCATGGGTGATTTTAATATAATTTGTGTTTATTTGTGCTTTTTGATTTTTCTATAGTATGCAATATTGTAAGAATATAGTCCACCTGCTCTCTTCTGTGGTGGCTGGGGGACTTTGTGGATGGATATGATGGGTCTGACCTCAGTTCCCAGTTCTGACCTTTCGGTACTGACCTGGGATGGTAGGGGCTGGGGCACTGACCTCTCACCCCCCCAGGGCTCTCTGCCAAGCTGCTTGCTGGCCTAAATATAACAGAGACAAAGCTGCAGGCCTAGGTTCCTGGACTGCCTCTCTGCTGTGCTTAAAACCTCTCTAATATCAAGTCTGGCCTCAGTCTAAAGCTGTGGAGTTTTCTGTACTTTCTCCCCCTCTGTGAAAACTAAGTGAGAAGTAAAGCTTTCTTTGGGGCTTAATGGAGAGCATTCAAGAAAATAAAAATACAAAATATAACAGAGGCATTTAATCCCTACAGAGAGATAGCAGGAGGTCACCTGTTAAGGCATTCAGTTTGGTCTGAGACACATAATCTCTGTCTAAACTGACAGGTGTTCATTTTTTCCTTGAGACTCTGCCACCGTGCAGGCCCTCTGTGTTTGCTGTTGCTGCAGGTGTCCAGGATCAGGAATTACTTGCTTTTCCTTGATTTGAGGCTGGATTTTGCTTACTTCCCAATGAGCCTCTTCCATTTTTTTCCATGAGCATAAAGTCTGAAGAATGTCCGAGCAATGTCTTTTCTCTTTAAATGGAACTGGTCCTTGAGGATACCAAGTTGTCTCTCAGTATCTCAT